CTCATAATAACTCTAGCCCGAATCTATGTCATCTTCCCCTGAGCTGAGTGGTGATAATCACTTACATCTGTGCAGGGCTTTACAGTTTCCAGAAACCTTCTCTCATCCATTATCTCATTTGTTCCTCTGAAGATCCCAAAGAGGCCAGCAGGTAGGGCAGGGATTACAACCCCCATTTTACAATGGAAGAAATTGAGGAAGATGGAATAACTTGCCCAACATATTGGGAAGGCTGTTATGTTAAAATGGGCTAGAGTTGTTCTCCTTGGTTCCAGAGGGCAGAACTGAGGAAAACCTCCAGATAATTAGACCTCTCCAGAAGTGAAATGGACTGCCTTGAGAGGTAGTGAGTTCTCCTCCACGAGAGGTCTTCAAACAAAGGCTATTTGACCACTTGTCAGGAATGTCAGGGAGGAGATCCCTATCAGATACAGATTGAGCAATCTAAAGTCACTCTTGAGATATCAGAGGAAAAATATGACAAGATGTAGGCAGAATAAAGGACGGGGAAGAGTCAAAGACAATAATAGCAAAAATCATCACAGCAAAAGCTGACTACTCTCAAGTGCTTTCAGGTTTACAGATCACTTCACATGATCTCATTTGACCCAAGCACCACCTTTTAAGGTAGGTATTATAGTTACAATCTACTGGTGCAGAATCTGAGACTCAGAGGTTAAATAACTTCCTGAATCATCACTCAGCTAGTAATTAGGAGAGATAAGACTTGAACCTAGGTCTTTTTTGACTACAAGTACAACACTTTTCCCAGTACTCCAGAAGGGAGATTCCATTGATCCAAACATGAGACCTGGGAAGACAATCTATGTCGAGAGAAATGATTTCTTTCTGTTTGGGAGATGTTGAGTTTGAGATGATTCAAATGGAGAGGCAATTCGAAATACAAACTCAAGACCAGTGCTTAGATGTGTAGGTTTGTTTTGATTCTATGATGAAAATGAGATGAGAGCAGTCACTAGTGTCATATGGCAAATAAAAAGCTAATGTAGTCATGGACTGACTGCATAGCATCCGGGAGTAGAGAGGTGATCGTCCTGCAGTTCTCTATCCCAGCCAGACCTCATCTGGAATAGTATGTTTCATTCTAGGTGAAGTGGTTTTTGTTTTTATTTTTGTTAACAAGCACTTATTTTCCTGCCTACCACCCCCACCCCCATTGGAGGCTGAAAAAAAACCCAACTCCTTGTAATAAGCATATTCAAGCATGAATTTCCATACTGCCCATGTCCAAAAATGTGTGTCTCATTCTGCATCTTGAATTCATCTTCTCTCTGTCAGAAACTGGGTAGTATGCTTTATCATCAATCCTTTGGAAGCACTCTATAAATATTAGGTAGGTAAGTAGGTAGGAAGGCAGGCAAGTAGTAGTAGTAGTTGTTGTTGTTGTTGTTGTTGTTGTAATAGTAATAGTAGTAGTAATATTAGTATTTAACACTATTGATCACCTTTCTCCATCTCCCTCAAACTTTTTCCTCCCTTGGATTGAACCTCCCAGTAAGTGAACCTTCTTGGCTCTCCCCCTCTTCTTTTTACTTTTCCAGTTTGTACTACTTCTGCCCCCTAATTCTAGGTGCTCTCCAATCCCTTCCTCTCTGTCCCTCCATCCTCTCTCTATATACTCTCTTCCTCAGAGATCTCATTAATTCACAGAATCATAGGATCTCAGAGTTGGAAGACACTTCTGATGTCAGCTAGTCTAAGCTCTAAGACTTCTAGTAAGGGGAAGGCCACCCCTCCTCCTGAGGCGGCCCATTCTACTTTGGCATAAGTAATTATTACCTCTGCCACAGCCACTCACTGCTTCTAATTCTACTCTCTGGGGCCAAACGAACCAATCTAATCTCTCTTCCACTCTTCAAATATTCGAGTACAACATTTTATCTCTACACACACATAAATACACATAGAGGCTTCTCTTCAGGTTTAACATCTTCAGTCCCTTCAATCCATCATCATATGTCATGATCCCAAGGCCCTTTGTCATCTTACCTGCCCTCCTCTGAATGTTCTCTGGCTTATAAAAGTTCCTCCCTAAAACATGGTGTAGAGACAAACAATTTTGAAAGACTTAAGAACTCTAATCAATGCTTCCAAAGGAAGTCTGTTCATGTTTGTTGTTTCCATGATACTATCTAAGCACTTTACAATTATTATCTCTTTTGATCCTTACAACAACCCTAGGAGGTAGGTGCTGTTATTATCTCCATTTTACAAATGAGGAAACTGAGGTAAACAAAAGTTAAGTGACTTGCCCAGGGTCACAGTTAGTGTCTGAGACCAGATTTGAACTGGGATCTTCCTAACTCCAGATCCAGAGCTCTATCCATTGTACCACCATACTAAAGAAAAGTGATTGAGTACTGAAAACAAAATGTCCTTAGAATTATACAAGATTTATATTAGCCTATTGCTTACTCTCTTGCATCACTGATCCCTGGAGCATGAAACAACCATAACTCTGTTTTATCTGGAAAAGGGAGGGGAATGTCCTCTGGGCAAACTTTGGTAGGAGTAGGCAGCTCATTGGTCCAAAAGTCTGGGAACAGAATATTTCTAAGCATCACAGCTTCAACAACGGAGTGGCCTGGAGTCCAGAGATTCATGGAACATTAGAGCTGGAAGGAACTTTAGGAACCACCTAGTTCACATCTTTCACTTTAGAAGAGGGGAAAGGGGGTATCACAGAAGGGTAGAAGTCACCCAGATGGTAAAGAACAGAGACAGGATTGAATTTGGCCCTGCTTGCCTGAGAAAGTTAATCAACCCCCTTCCTTAAAGACATGGGAGAACCTGTCATAACTTTTCTGGCCAAAATTTAGATATAAGGCAGAGGTCTGAACTAATGACATAAGAAAATTGACTTTTGGGCCATGTCAGCAGAAAGAACAATAACCCTGTATGATGATAGTGACCAAGCTCAGCCCTGTAGGAGAGTTCTCCCCTTCATTGCAGAGGATAGGCACTATGGATATGGAATGTGGAATATACTGTCAAACAGAGGCAACATGTTGGTTGATTCTTCTTCCCCCTCTTTTTGTATTCTGTGTCACAAGAGGTGGCTCTCTAGTTAGAGAAGAGGGAAGAGATCTATTTTTTTTAAAGGGCATTAAGGGGTTAGCTGTAGATTTCAGTCATCCAAGTCACTGCTATTCCCCAAAACAGATGTATCTTGCTTTAAGCAAACACAGTATGTGAATGGTATAACTGGAAGAGACTTTAGAAATGATCTGGTCCACGTGACTTGTGTTACTAATGAGGAAACTGGCCCATAGAGGTAGAAATGACTTGCCAAAGGTCATCCGGCCAATAAGTCAAAGGGCCTAAACTAGATAGAACCTGGCTTCCAGTTTAGTGTTCTTTCCACTACACCCTGTTAAAAAGTACAAACCTACTCACAGGAAAGGTTGCACTGACTCAGACTGTGATACAGCAGCCACAAACAGGATTTTAGGCTGGAGATAATATCCAGTACAAGGGAAATTATAATCCCTGTGTCCTTCATCCTGGTCACACCACATCTGGTGTATCCTGTTTGTGTCTGGGTACCACAGGAAGGAAATTGACACACCACAATATGTTAAGCTGAGGGCAACCAGGATGATAAGAGGCTGGCGGATCACAGCGCTAAGGACAGCTGAAGGAGCTAAGGTTGTTTAACCTAGAGAAGAACTCAAAGGATGAGACGTGAACACTGTCTTCAAGTGCTTGAAGGGTAGCCCTATGGCAGAGAGATTAGATTCATACCGCTTGGCCCCAGAAAGCAGAACTAGACAAGAGAGGGGGCTTCCGAGGAGGACAAAGAGCCCAGAAGGAGGAGACTGATCAGCTGCCTTCATTCCACACATCCGGCAACATTTGCTTTGTGTATAGGAAGGCTGGCTCTTTGTAATTTCCTGCAGGGCATGGACTTTACTCATCAATTCCTCTTTCTCTTTTTTAGGGGCCCCTGCTCATTTGTGTTGTTGAATGTAGTGACATCTACTGGTGGGCAAGGCCTGGCAAAGCAGGGAGCAGTTCAAATCCACCCACCCTTTCTGACATCTCCCTTGGGCCCTGCTCTCCTGGAGCTCAGTCTAGTGCTGAGAGAGAAGTCACTGGTGTGGAACAGAGAACTAAATGGTGAGATATCCAACTGAACGTAATCACATTCAATGGCGGCTTTGGGCAAGTCCCCTCCCTTCCCGGAGCCTCTGTTTCCATATGTGGAGGGAGCTCCAGATAACACCTACAATCCCTTATAGCTCCAGAGTTAATAGGGATTAATAGGTGGGTCTTGCGTTTGCTACACTTTGTGTCATTCTCAAAGAATTTTTCCCTGCCCTAATGACTATCCTATTACTCTTGCCTAGAGGGAGCCAAATGGACTTGATTCTATGTTATAATAATTGTAATTGTTTAGAGTACTTTTCTATAATTTGCTATGGCAAATAATCTCCAGTTAAGACCAGCGGATGGAAGTATAGGGAGGAAGATTCTGACTCAACATAAGGAGTTTGTAAATTGGAGCTTTCTAAAAGTGGAAGGACTGCTTTGTGAGGTAATGAGTTCCCCATTGCTGGAGATGATCAAGCAAAGATGTTGTAGAGGGGATTCCTGTTTCAGACTGAGGTGCAAAGGATCATAAGTTCTGAGCTGGCAGGAAACTTGGGGTCCATCTAGTCAACCCTCCCAAGTTATAGATTAGGGAACCTGAGGGTCAGAGAGGTTAAGTGAGTTGCTGGAGCTTGCCTAAGGAGGAAGCAGCAGTCAGGATTCAAACCCAGGTCCTCACATTCCAATCTTGATGTACTTTCTGCTGTACTACAGTCTTCTTAGATAACTTCCTTGGACTTCTATAGAGCCTGTGACCTACCACTCTCATTTTATCCATTCATCAACTCTGTGGAAAACAGGGCATGCATTATTATCCCTATTTTTCAGTAATTGGTTCAAGTGCCCACTCATCAGGAAGCCTGACAAATTCTGGCCATCACCTCATTGGCTGACCCTCTTTGGGGTTCAGCTCCAGGAGATTTGGTTCTAGTCTGGAGTGTTCTGTGATCTTCAGCCAGCCATCGCAGAAGCCAATTCCCAGCACATGGCCTGCCATGAGCCCATTCTGAGTCGGGGGGCAGGACCTGAGCACTGCAGGGAACTCTTTGGTAGGAGCAATGGCTTGGCATAGAGTGTGTGTGGATGAGATTTACGTTATGCTAATTTAACAGAACATAGAATGTCAGAGCTAGAAGGGACTTTAGAACACAGAATGTTCTGATAGGGGACCTTCTAGGTTACTGAATGCTAAGGAATCAAAGGCCCAGAGACAGGGAGGCCCAAGGTCACCCAGGCTGTGCAGAGCTGGAACTTGAACCCAGATCTCCTACCTCTCCATCCATGTGCCCTTTCCATATAAACACATGCAGCAGGGATGGTATGACCACTGAAGCCCAAAGATGTGTGCGATCTTAGCCAGACTGGAAATTATGGGAGGAATCTAGCTGTAGATATGTCTTCCTCTACAACAGCCAGACAGCTGTGCTTCCTCTCTATGTGGCTGGCTAGAGGCAAAGCACATGTTGCCTCTGGAGGTTCCCAAGGGCCAGGGAGCACCTTCTTTTTGGCCCTTGTGCTTTTCTTGGGATCTGGTGTGCAACTCCATGGGCCCAGAAAGAGGTGACATCAAATGCCAAATGGGACAAAACCTCAGGGGGAGGAGAGCTTACTGGAAAAGTGGGCTGGGTTTTTTTTTCTATTTTTTTCTGTCTTATTCCCATCATTAATATATCTATTCTTTATGATTTTGGAAGCCTCACAGCTTGCATGGAGAAGAAAGAGATAGGAAGAAGACGACTGGAGAAACAAGAGCCAAATCCACAGTTCCCCTGGGCTGAGCCCTGGGTAGAGGCTGAGCCATTACTGAATTAATTGCTGAGGTGCCACCAAGTCTTTTTTAACTCAGAGCTGAGATCCCAGGCCACAAATTGCCCATCTGTTCAATTCAAGTAAGTAAGACCTTATTAGGTACCTGCTGTATTCTGAGGCTTGTGTAAGACCATATAAAAGAGACAAGCAGAGCAGGTACACGGCATTTTCCCCTCCCCCACAACCCCCCCATTCCCAGAGAGCTCCCAGTCTGGTAGAAAAGGTGGGATGTATACCCATGAAACCACCCAGAGAACAGCACAATGTGTATTTGTGTGGTACAGACAGTGTGTGCTCTAGAAATTCAGAAGAGTAGGACATCAAAGTCTATAGTTGCTATAGACATCTACATAAGGATCTCACTGTCTCATGAGCAAGACCATTCGCATTGCTGGACAGGCTCTGTTTAAGAAGCTCTTCTTTATTTTGACCTGAAATCGATCTCCCTGAAATTCTGCTCACAACCAGCCTGCTCTCTATACAGAATGAAGTGAGAGGAACAAGGCTAATCTCTCTTTCTTGTGAGAGCCCTTCAGATATTTAGAGATCAACACATGCCTGAGGGGCCACAGATGGCTTCAAGGAGTAGGTAACAATTGATCTGGACTTGAGGGATAGATAGGATTTGGATAACGGGAGAGGAGAGCAGAAGACAGATGGGCAAGAAGGATTTGGTGGGAGATGGCATGATCAAAAGCCAGAAAGAGAAGAGAGATGAACCTATTATGTGGGGCTAAAGAAGGAGGAAGGTGGAGAAGGGACAGAATGATAATGATATAGCTTTCTGGGGTACCCTACTTCTGAGGCTGCTAAGAAAAGAAGTATTCCGAGGCCCAACTAGAGGTGCTGCATGCCTCCACTGTTCCCTCTGAAATGTCTTCCCCTTCTCTCTCTGTTGAATTCCTACTCATCCTTTAAAACCCGGTTCAGATGACACCTCCATCACAAAGCCATCCCTGATCCCCTGGTTAGTAATGAACTCTCCCTCACAATGGACATAGCATTTTTCTTTGCCTATCTCTAAGGCACTTATCATGTGATAATTTATATCATAAGTATCTGTTTATGTGTCTTAATCCCCACTAGCCTTACAGTTTCATGGGGGCAAGGGACTGTGTCTCATCTAAACTTCGTCTCTCCCTTTGTACCACGTGCATGTTGTCCATGGCATTATAGAGATGAAGAGATTGAGGCCCAGAAAAGGGCAGGTGAGTTATCCAAGATCATACCCCTGAGTTAGTGGCACAGCCTTCTAATGTCTGATTTCTCTCTTGGACTGTTTCCCTGAAGTTCCTTTGGTAGATGAGACTGTGCCACACAGACCTGGTGTCATGTTACTGACCCCGGAATCCTGCAGGGCTTAGGAATGCAGGTCATGAAATGAAAAAGAAAAAGGAAGTTGGTCTGTTTCTGCAAAACTTAAAAAAAAAAACCAACCCCTGGTAAAAGAATGGACTTGCAGGACCATGTGCTTTTATTTACCTGCTCACAGACCCCAGATATTTCCCTTCCCCTCTTCTTTCCTCCTTCCTCCTCTAAACACATACATTCTGCACCATCCCCCTCTCCCTCCCAGCCCAGGCAACAGAGCTTTCTGTTTGTCAAAGGAAGTCTCTGAAAGCCACTCCTGCTGGATGTCCCATAGTCATCAGTCGAGTAGCATTTATTAAGCACTTACTATGTCCCAGGCGCTTGTGCTAAGTGCTAGGGATACGAAGAAAGGCAAATAATCGCTCCCCTCAAGGAGGTTATATTCTAATGGGGAAAACAAATACACAAACACCTATGTACATACAAGATATATGCAGTGCAGTGGAGGGTCAGATGTCGGAAGGAAAGTCCTGGTAGCGGGCTTCCCGCAGAAGGCGGGGAATGATTGTGGGGAGAAGGGCACCAATTGATGTTGCTCTCTGCCGCACCCCTCTCCTGGCCCATGGCTCCCCAACCTTTAGAAGTCCCTGGGGTTTTGGGACAGGAAGAGGGCACAATAGCCAGAGTCCTGACATAGAAGTCATCACAGCTGACCCTTGTAAAGGGTTTTAAGGTTTTCACAGTGCTCTACACATGTGAGCCTCACAACCAGCCTGTGAAGTGGGCACTTGGAGGTGTTATTAAACCCATGCCATGAAGGAGGAAACATGGGCTCTGGGAGGCTGTGACCTACCCAAGGACACACAGATATTAGATGTCTGAGGCAGGTATCCAAACCAAATCTTGCTAACACTGAAATTAACCTTCTTAGCCACTATGCTGCGTCTAGTAACTGGCCCTAGTTCACTCAGTTGATTGGTTTGCCTTCCTGTGTGCCTAGGGAGAAGTGGAAGGTTTGGCCTTCAAGTTCCCTTCCTGCTACACCCCAAGATCCTTTCCAGCTCTTACCTTCTATGTTCTGGGTTCAAAGGTTTTTTCCAAACTCTAACACTGTATGTTTTGAGGTCTCACCCAGCTCAGACACCCTGCATTCTATTATCTATGGGTTCTTTCAACTCTGACAATCAGTGTTCTGTGTTCTAAAATCTCTTTCAAGCTCTGAAATTCTGTTATATATTCTAAAAGGTCTCTTCTAGCTCTGAAGTGTGGTGGGGGATGGGGAGCCAAGGGGTGGGAACAGGCATTGATCAATCATCCACTAATGTGCCACAGACGGTGCTAAACTCTTTACATATATTCTCTCATTTGATCTGTTCTAAGGTCCTTTCTGAGTCTTAACATTCTATGTCCTAAGGTCCTGCTTGGTTCTGATGTCCTTTGTTCTGTGTTCTAAGGTTTCTCCCCGCATTAATATTCCAAGCTCATCCAACATCAGCCTTAAAAAAGACCTTAGGAATTCCCTCTTTTGATCATAAAAATGGGGAAAGGACTCACATGTACAAGAATATTTATAGCAGCTCTTTCTGTGGTGGCCAAGAATTGGAAATTGAAGGGATGCTCATCAGTTGGGGAATGGCTGAACAAATTGTGGTATATGAATGTGATGGAATACTATTGTTCCATAAGAAATGATGAGCAGGCAGACTTCAGAAAAACCTGGAAAGACTTGTATGGACTGATGCTGAATGAAATGAGCAGAACCAGGAGAACATTGTACACAGTAACAGCCACATTGTGTCATGAATAACATTGATAGACTTAGTCCTTCTCAGCAATGCAAGGATCTAAGACATCTCCAAAGGTCTCATGATGGAAAATTCTATCCACATCCAAAGAAAGAACTATGGAGTTTGAAAGCAGATTGAAGCATGCTATTTGCTTTTGTTTCTTCTTTCTAGTGGTTCCTCCTATTGGTTCTAATTCTTCCTTATATTACTAATGTGAAAATGTGTTTAATAGGAATGTACATGTAGAGCCTATATCAGATTACGTGCCATCTTAGAGAGGGAGGGGGAGAAAAATTTAAAACTCAAAAGCTTATGGAAATAATTGTTGATAAATCAAAATTAATTAATTAAAAAAAAAAAAAGAAATCTAAAAAAAGGAATTACCTCTTTTAATCCCTTTGTTTTACAGGAATCTTGGTCTTATAAAGGGAAAGTGATTTCCCTGAGTTCACATAGCTAATAAGTGGATAAGCTAGGATTCAAATTTAGGAAAGCCTTTCCTATTACCCCTAGTTATTGATGCTTTTGTTGTTTTTCAGTTGTATCCAACTCTTTGTGATCCCATTTGAGGTTTTCTTAGCAAAGAAATCAAAGCAGTTTGCTATTTCCTTCTCCAGCTCACTTTACAGATGAGGAAACCAAAGCAGACAGGGTGAAGTGACTTGCCCAGGGTCACACAGCTAGCAAGTGTCTGAGGCCAGATTTGAACTCACAGAGATGAGTCTTCCTGACTCCCAGCCCAGTGCTCTTCCACTGCACCACCAAGCTGCCTTCAGATTCTCTTGTATTTCCTTAACTTGGCAGAGTAGAGAGAGAGTTGGCCTTGAAGCTGAGAAGACCTGGCTGGCTTCAAGTCCTAACTCTCAAAGACACTGGTCACTTAACCCCTCAGTGCTCTAGGGCCACTCTCCAAGACTATAAATTGCAGAGCAGGTACCTACGTACAAGGGTAAAGGGAGTTTCCTCACCCTTGAGTTTGCTGTACTAGTGAACTCTCAGGTCCAGTCCCTATCCTTTATTTATCCAGTGTCAGTGTCATGCTCTCTCTTTGTACCCTCCACCCCCCCACACCTATGTAAGTTCCTTGGAAGCAGGGCAACTTACTGTTTGTACGCTATACCCCCCAGTGTGGTGGAATGGATGAAGCTGGCCTCAGAAGGAAGAGTTGAGTTCAAATCTTTTCTTGGACCTAGTCACTTAACTTCTCAGAGCCCCTAGGCAACTCTCCAAGGGGCTATTACTGAGGAAGGACTGATCTGCATTGGCAGAAGAAGCCCCTCCTGGGAGCCTTCCTACAGAATGAAAATCACAGTTCTAGTGAAAACAACTGTCTGCAGAGTGCTTTTAAAATAGGAATCCAAGTTTTCTGCCTCCAACACCTCCCCCATCACAGAAAGTCTTCAAGTAAGGCTGGATAGCCACTTCTCGTTTGGTTGGAATAGGGTTTTATTTTGCTGTAATTTTTTTTTTGAGGGGGAGAATGGGTTGGGCTAGATGGCTGTTCCCTTCCAGCTCTGAAATTCTGTGATGATATAATGCTTGGGGGGCAGCATGGTATCCTGGGAAGAGCAGGTACCAAAGGCAGAATCAGAGATTTGTTTTGTATCCCAGTTTTAACCCTTCTTGTGCAACTATGAGGAAGTAGTGACTGTCAGTCCCTCTCGGAGCCTCAAGGTTGAACCAGGGTTGTTGTGAGCAGAATGCTAGCTAAATGAATGCTAGCTGAATCTTCAAGTACCATAAAAATAGCAGTTAGGAGTATTGCTACACATTATCTTATTTGACCTTCATAACAGCCCTGGGGAGTAGGCAGTGGCAGAGTGGCTTCAAATCCCGACTCCAACATTTTTGAGTTGTATCATCCTGGACGAGTCACCCTACTTCCTCATCTGTAAAAAGGAGCTGATAACATTTGTACTATTTATCTGACAGGGTTGTTGTATGGCAAAATTTTGTATTTATACATATATATGTATGTATTGTACACATGCATATGTGTACCATGTACATGCACAGGTATAAACACATACATATATGCATAAGATTATATATTCACAAAGCACTTTGCAAATCTTAAAGTACTATATAAAATGTCAATTATTATTACTCCTATTTATTAGTGAGAAAATTGAGACTCAGAAAGATGAAATTATTTCCCTGATGCTGCACACATAGTGAGTGGTAGAACTGGAATTATAACCCAGTACACCTCATTCACAATCCAAATGCTTTTTCATTTGAACTAAATCCCAGGAAATGGGTATCTTTAAAAAGTAACAGACAACATGGCAAACATACCCTAACTCATTATGAAAAAGAGACCCTTCCAAAGGCACATTGTGGACATTTTACCACCAGGTGGTGCTTCTGGCCACTGACTTAATCCTATCACAGGTGAACAAATCCCAGGCATTTACTCAGTGTTAAGTACCCTTCCAGTGCACTAAGCAGAAGTACTAGGAAATGTTGCACTGTCTAGGTTTCTGAGAGTGTTTGGGACCTTCTGTTCCCTAAGCTCTGGAAGACCATACCAACTCATCAGTCTAGGCCCCATGATCAAAGGTTCTTAACCCTTTTTTTTCTTTTTGGCATCACAGACCCTTATGGCAGTCTGGTGAAGCCTATGGATCATTGCTTCTCAGAATGTTTGTTATCTATATTCATAGTTGAAGAAAATGCTAAATTTTAGTTAAAGGCTAGAGAAAAAAATAAGTGTAATTTTTTTTTAACAAACTCCCTGAAATTTATCCATGTACCCCATGGAAGTCCATGGACCACAGGTTAAGAACCTCTGATCTAGGATGTCTCCTTAATTAGGATCAGCTTCAAGCTCCCAACCTACTTGCAAAACACGGCCTCTTCCCTAAATTTTCAGAGCCCTAGTCATATGACTGCTATAATGGTGTCAGCTCCTTGAAGAAATAGAAAGGTATGCTTAGATTATATATACAATGGTTTTAAAAAAATAGAATTAATAAAATCAAATAAGCAATACATAATAAAACATTTACCACTAAGCTGCCCATCCTCATCCTCTCCCAATCCCAGGCAGTTTCCAAATAGCATATAGACTGTTGCAAACCTGGGAGTGCTAAGAAATGCATAACTCAGTTTGCTTAGCCCCTATAAGTCTACAAATGTGTGAAGACAATAAAACACAACCAGCAACTGATTTCCATCTTACTGATGCATCCAGTAGGGCTGCCGTAAGTAAAGACTCAGGAACTCCATATCCCAGACTTAACTTCTTCCTTGTGGCATGGGACGTACCCTTGGCATCTGAATGTGATGTGTTTCCTCTCAGGGTTCTTCCTGTTGCTGACAGGGATGCCTGAGTGCATTTTTCCATGGCTAGTTTATCACCTGGAGCTGAATGAGCAGACTCAGCAGCACAGAAGGGCAGTCTGCTGCCACCATTCCACCCTCCTATCTTTGAGCTTGGGATCCTCAGTTCTCGTTTGGATTGTGCCAGAAGGCATATCCCATCCCCTTGGTCCTCTAAATTCAGTGACTTTATCCAGCCCTCCTTCCCTGCTGTCTCATTTTGTCTGCCTGCCATCCATCAGGCAGCTAGGTGGTACAGTGGATAGAGTGCTGAATTCAAATCCACCCTGAGACATTTACTAGCTCTGTAACCTTAGGCAAATCATGGTTGCCTCAGTTTCTTCATCTGTAAAGTAGGGATAATAATGGCACCTACCTCCCAGGGTTGTTGTGATGATCAATTGAGATAATATGCATAGTGCTTAGCACAGTGCCTGGAACATAGTAGGTGTTATATAAATATTACTCCCATCTCACTCTCCCATGGATGCTGAAGCCACCCCTCTCTAAAGTGGTAGGAGGAGCAGGCAGAGCAAGAAGGGTAATACTTGAAGTATCATATCTTTTTAGGGGGCCACCTGAGTTTCCTGATTATCTAAACTTTTCCAGTTCCTAGTTCTGTATTTCTTCTTAATATTTCTAGTGTTTTGGTTTTTTTTTTAACCCAAGGGTTCTTGGCCTTGTTTTTTAAAATATTTTGAAAACTGCATTCCAATATAATTGGTTTTCTTTGTAATCCTACATATTCCGTGCATCTAAAAGGATTATTCTGATAAGGGGTCCATAGGTTTCATGAGATTGTCAAAGAATATCCCTCTTGGACACTAGGTTGTATCCAAAGGAGACACAGTAGGCAAAAAGGTTAAGAATCCCTGGACTTAAACATGTCCAAAAGACAGGTGATCAGGATGATGAGAAGGCTCTAGCCTAGCTGTTAAAAGGATCAGTTGGAAGAACTACCAATATTTAGTTTGGAGAAGAGAAGATTTAGTGGGAAAATGATACCTACCTTCAAATATTTGAATGTCTGTCATATGACATAAGGATCAGACTTAATCGGTTTTGCCCTAGAGGGCAGAATTTGGATCAACTGTTGGAAGTTACTGTGAGGCAGATTTAAGGCTAGTCATAAGGAAGTATTATATAAAGTATTATATAAACTGTAAAATAGTATATGTAAGTGAAGTTATTTGGCAGGAGTAATAGTAATTACAACTAGATGAACTGCCTCATGAGCTAAGGAGTTCTCCATCAATAAAATATTTAGATGGAGGCTAGGCACCAACAACTCCCTTTCTTTAATGCCTTAAGGTTCACAAAATGTTTTTCTCACAACAGCCTTTTGAGGTAGGTACTACAAATACTACTGTTCTTCCAAGGATGGGCAGCAGGTAAATAACCCTAGACGGTGTTCATATTATGCCATTATCTATTTTGAACAATTTCAGGTGAATTAATTTATCAGATTGATTT